GGTCTTGAGTTGTTTGAGTTCTTTATAAATTTTGATACTAATTCCTCATCAGATGTATCCCACATAAAAAGCCTTTAGTTTTTGGCTTATCCACCTAGTGTTCCTTTTCTAAATGTTAGTAAACACAAATATCTTTATTCTGCCCCACAGCCTTTCTTCCTTATTCTTCATTCATTTTTATGATTAATATTCCACTGGTGAATGACATAGTTTGGGGATGAGTTTTTTAAAAAACAGTAATGATAGCAAATAGTTCTGAACTACTGAATCAGATCTCTAGATGGAGAGATGAGGAAGCACTTTAAAATGGCTTTTCCAGTCAGGACACATGCCTGGGTTGCAGGCCATGGCCCCCAGGAATCACACATTGATGTTTCTTTCTCTCTCTCTTTCTCCCTCCCTTCCCTCTCTAAAAATAAATAAAATCTTAAAAACAATTGGTTTTAATTGGGAACATTTCTTTTTTTTCCTTTGCATTTCAATTTGGGAATTTTCACTTTTAAAAAATATATTTTATTGATTATGCTATTACAATTGTCCTATTTCCCCCCTTTATTCCCCTCCACCCTGCACCCTCCTCCCACCCACATCCCCCGGCCCCTTAGTTCATGTCCATGGGTCATACATATAAGTTCTTTGGCTTCTGAAACATGTCTTATACTACTCTTAACCTCCCCCTGTCTATTTTCTATTTACCATCTATGCTACTTATTCTCTGTACCTTTTGCTCCTCTCTCCCCTCTCACTCCCCCACTGATAACCCTCCATGTGATCTCCATTTCTGTGAATCTGTTCCTGTTCTAGTTCTTTGCTTAGTTTCTTTTTGTGTTTTTAGGTTCAGTTGTTGATAGTTGTGAGTTTGTCATTTTACTGTTCATATTTTTGATCTTCTTTTCTTAGATAAGTCCCTTTATCATTTCTCATATAATAAGGGCTTGGTGATGGCACTGCTTTTTTTTTGAAGAGCACACCTCCAAGGTAAACTACCAGAATTATTACTATATTTTTATGTGCTCACCATGCCTCTCAAACTGCCAAGAAAGAGTTCAACACAATTTGGGGTGGAGCTTGGGCTTTGCCACGTGCCAGACGCTGGCTGCCTGCCCCTTCGGCTGTGCTGCTCAGATGAAGTGGACATTTGCATCTCACTGGTGTTCTGCATCTGAGACTACCTCCCTTCGGTATCCCCCTCATCCCCTCCCAGACCTTGCATGTAGCGCAGAAATCTTCGTAACTGCTTCTGGTTCCCGAGCTCAGTTGCTCACCTGCCTGCTCCTGGTTCTGGGCTTTGCAGCTCTGCTGCTCCTGGGTCCCTGTGCTGGAAGCGGGATGAGCGCTGGGAGCAGGATAAGTGCTGAGAGCAGGATGGGGCGCCTGCGAGGGGGAGCTGCCCCGCCTTCGCGCGGTGATGCCGGGATTGGGGGCTGGAGCGCCGCCTTCGTCTCTCCGGCGTGCTAGCTAGCTAGCTCGCTTGCTCCCGCCCTTCTCCCCGCCCCAAGCCCTCTCCTGCCTCAGCCGTGCAACTCCGCAGTGCAGATGCCCGCTGGCCGCCCGCCCGCGCTTGGCGGTTCCAGCTCCTGCGGGGACTTGCAGGTCCCTTCGACCCCCGAGCGCTGGCCGCATTGTGGTTGTTCCCAAGTGACCCTCGACTGAGCGGACTCTCAGGGGCCCCCCGGGAAGCCTCTACACCAGTGGGACAGGGGGTATCTAGGCGGACAGTGGCTGCACCGGAGCCCGGGCGCTCCCGGATGCGGCAGGAGAAACTAACCGGCTCCTTGAGGCGCGGCGGGAGATGCCTGAAGCGGCAGGGTGGCGGCGGCGGCGGCAGCGGCGGCAGTGGTGGCGGCGTGGGCACCATCCTGAGCAACGTGCTCAAGAAGCGCAGCTGCATTTCCCGGACCGCTCCCCGGCTGCTCTGCACTCTGGAGCCGGGTGAGGACCGGGAGCTGCAGACCGGGCGCTGGAAAGTAGTGCGGCGCCCTGGGAGTGGGGCTGCTCCCGCCTCTGCCTCAGCTGTACTGCACCTAGGCCGGCGAGCGTGCTCGGCCCCGGGTGCTGGGTACTGAGGTTTGGCGCGGGTGGGGCTAGGCCAGCCTGGGAGGGCCGATCGCAGACCAGGGCCTGGGCGGAGGCAGCGGCCTTCCAAGGCACGGAGGACTCGCGGCTCCGCCGCCTGCCAGCGGGGCCCCAACCCCGGGGGCCTGTGCGTGGTCCAGCCCTGCTTGTGTCTGGAGCTGGGGAAGTGCTGGTGCCTGCCGTGGCCATCAGAGGCTGCGCAACCGATTGTGCACCAGTCTCACAAGAAGCCAGACCTTGAAAGAGGTGTGCGAGGCAGAGAAGGGCGCAGGTTTGATACTTTGGGTCTGAGAGGAAGGCAGTAGCTGCGAAGGAAAAATCGGGTGCATTTTGCTGAGTGTTCGTCCTCTTTGGCGAGTGGCGGGTCCGCTCGCCTGGAGCCTCTGATGTGTGTCCGGGTGTGGAGCGGGCCGGAAACGGTTCCGCAGCCTCGAGATCCTTTCTTACAGATAAAGTCCAGGAGCGCACCTGGCCGTGCTAAGCTAGGCCCTTTTTTCCTCTCAGCCTGTGTTTACACATCCCTGCTTCTCTAGGCTGCATAACTCTGCGTCTGCTCCACCCTCCGGCATCCCTCCCCGGGGTTTTATGAGCCCGGCCCTGGCGCGGTAGCCTGGGCGCAGAGGGAGCCGACGGTACTCGCACCGGTGCTTAGGGCTCACCTGTTCCTGGAGTGGCACCAGCTGGGTGCCCTGGCGAGTTCGACCTCCCACACCCCCAGCCTCCCAGCGCCTCCGGGGACCTGCTGTCCTGAGGCTGCAGGGGGACGCTGCCAAGGCACTGATCCCTAAAGGGTGGAACGCGTGGCTGCGTTTTCGAACCTCGTGGTTCCTTTGTTTTTCTCCTCAAGGAAGTGTCTAGTTAAAGAGACTGTAGTATTTATTCACCGTCTTACTTTACCCTTAAAAAAAATCTCCTTCCCACTTAGAAGTGTTTTGTATTTCTGAACCCGGAACAGCCGTGATCATCAGATTAAACATAAACCTTCTCCCCGCCCTTATCCAGTTCCAGGGAGAGGTGAAAATGACCTGATTTCAGCTTTTGCATACAGGCGGCGAATGATCAATTCTAGTTCAGTCCTGTGACTCATTTCTGATCATGAGAAAATAGTTGTGGTTTTGACTAACCAATCCAGCTGGGTTTCAGCGCCGCAGGGCAATCGGCAGGACGCCCGGAAGGAGCTGTGAAAACAACACCGGAGCACCTTTGGTAATACATACAGGGAATTTGGGGCTTTTAGGTCAGTAGAAATAATTCAGTGCGGAGCCGAATTCCTGGTCTTTGTTAGAATAAGGCAAATGTCACGACTGTGCGCTCCTGCGTTCAGCACCCGGGGTCTGGACAGCAACCTCACAACCAGGTTTGTTTCCTTGTGCCTTCAACCCTGCACTCCAGCTGGAGGCGCTCTTGTGGCCATTGTGTCACGGCTCAGCACTGAGGCCCTGGCTTCGTTTAGACCAACTCAGAGAGATGAGAATCCGTGGGGATACTTAATACATATTCGGGAAGACAATTTTATCTGCCTAGGCAGAATATGGTTTTGAACCTGGAGCTTTGGAAATAAATATCTTGGGAGTCTCTACCACAGCTTGACTTTAGAAATTTAGGATCAACTCACATATTCAGAGTACTCTTCCAGGACTCCAAGAAGGGCATCTGCATACTCTCAAGGGCTTGGGCAAATCGGACACCTCTCTTTCCAGTTTCTTGAGTCTGTATATGTTTTTAAAAAGACAAGTTCACTTTATTATTATAATTTTGCACATTTTGAAAATTGTGCCTATCCATGTACCCACCCTAAGTAGTTATGAAGAGATTTTCAATATGCCTAATATGCAATCAACATCTTAGAAGTAAAAATGTCATCGTAAATGACAATTATAAATTGTAAAACTGAATGGTATTGCTAACATTTGGTATATCTTGATCCTTAAATTTTAAATCTTTTAAAAAGTGACTTAAAATGTAATTTCATTGATTTTATAATTGCAGGAAAAGAATATATAGCATTTTTAGATTTGATTGTACTATTTTAAAACCAGAATTTAAGTGGGAATAAAATTGTATTTAATTTCACCTCAGTAACAACAGAGTATCTAATATGGAATTCTGAATAAAATTCCAATATAAATATTAAGCATATAGTCTTTATATAGTCTCCTGTTTATTTGCTTCTATTGATTTGGGATTTGAAACAAAGAAGTTTATCTAAAGTTTTAGATAACTTAGCATTAGAATTCAGTTATATTTTTAGCTTGTAGTTTATAATTAAACATACAGACTTTTATCTCCAATAAGTCCATCAAAACAGAATTTAAAAACATATGAAAATCTCTAAATAGAATCATTAAGGATTCCATAAGTGGGAAGGCAATGACACTATTTTTATAACTTTTGTTATTCCACTGAAATTCCCCTAATAGCCTTAATCCACTCAAGTGTTCTAGAAAATAAGTTCTGTAAGCAGAGAATTCTCTTCCTAAGTTTCATAAATATTCATTGTACCATGGTAGGTGATTTACACTTAATCATCACAACTATCTACTGAGATAGACTTTATTATGCTAGTTTGAAAGATAAAGAATGAAGACTGAGACAGGTTACATCATTTGACTTCAGGAACCAATGTTGAATGGAGGTTTCTATGATTCCAAGCCTGTGAGGATTTTTTTTTTTTTTAGTTTGGCACTATTCCAGACAGCTGTAAAAACCACCATCTTTCATGAAAAGCTCCATTCTGTTGCCATAAGATATTTTTCTATTTTAATAACTAGTATTCTTTTTCTTTAATAAAATTGATTAAAATCTAGTTAAAATAAATGTTTTAAAAATTTCATTATGATTCAGTAGAATCAGGTTAATTTTTACTTTTATTTTTGATATAGTTTATTTCCTCCCCAAATAACAGTTATGTGTTTTTATTTTAGGAGTTGACACAAAGTTGAAGTTCACTCTTGAGCCATCTTTAGGTCAAAATGGTTTTCAGCAGGTAACTTTGTTTTTGGTTTCAATAACACTCTTATTTTGGGATATCTACAAGATATATACTGAGATATAGTCTCATAAGTACCACACACTAACCAATTGTACCACTGGAGCTCCCTGAGATATATTCTCAAAGTGGAAAAACTTTGATAAGCATAAGAAGACAAGTCAGTTTTTTAAAATATAGATAAGATAGCCTATGAAGCTACAAGTGGCTTGAGTTTATCCTTTCTATTTGTACTTTCTTTTTTTATTTGTTTACTTTTAGAGAGAGGGGAAGGGAAGGTGAAAGAGAGGGTGAGAAACATCAGTGTGTGGTTGCTTCTCGCTCGTCCCCTACTGGGGACCTGGCCTGCAACTCAGGCATGTGCCCTGACTGGGAATTGAACCAGCGACCCTTTGGTTTGCATGCCAGTGCTCAGTCCATTGAGCCACACCAGCCAGGGCTATTTTGTACTTTCTGTTAATGTTGTAAGCATGAGAAAAATTTCCCTGAAAAATTTTGTACTTTCTATTAATGGTATGTGAAAAAAAATTTCTAAAACCAAACATCTATTATTCTGAATCCATAAAAATGTTTTGGTTTCTGAACCAATGCTTCCCAAGTATTGAATATACTGCAGATGAATCACAGGTGTGTTAACAGTGGCCCAGGTGGGGCTTGGGGCAGTCATGGTCCTCAGACCAGTGACATATGGCTGAAAGAAGCTTTGACTGCTACCCCAGTGTGCTGTACCAATTTTACACTCTACAGATGTCAAGATGGAAAAAAGGTTGAAGTGCCTACACAGGTCAATATTATCACTCTGCCAATCTTTCTTCTTTGTTCCTAGTGGTACGATGCTCTCAAGGCGGTTGCCAGACTATCAACAGGAATCCCAAAGGAATGGAGGAGGAAGGTAAGGAGGGTTTGTAGGGCTAAAATACAAAAGGATCAGCACTCTGTCCCTCTTTAAAGTTTCTGGAATGTCAGAAATGATATGCTAGATTTAGTAATTTGAAACATGTCTCTTTTCATTATTCATTCATTCAATAATTTTGATTGATTGTCTATTCTGTGCCAGATAGTGTCTTAGTACTGAGATACAGCAATGGGGAAAAAAAAACAGACCAAAATGTTTGTCCTTTTGGAGCCTACAATGAATAAAGTATCAGATATGTCAGATGGTAATAATTACCATGGATGAAAATAAAGCAGAGAAATAAATGAAAGTGTGGGGAAATGGGGATATGGAGGTAGAATTTTAAATAGCAAAGTGACATTTCAATAGGCCCTTGCAGGAGGTGAGCAGTGGGCCCTGCAGCTACCCTGGGGGAAGAGTACTCCAGAGAACACTCAGGTGGGAGCATCTCAGGAATATATAAGCAAAAGCAAGAGGATGGGGTGGCTGAAGCACAGTGCAAAAGGGGAAAGCAATAGGAGAAAGGGTCATAGAGGTAATGCAATGGGATTAGGAGGATGGCAGACCATAGATCGTAGTAGGACTTTGCCTGGTGTGAGAAGCACTGGGTAGTTTTGAGCAGGGGAGTTAAATGATACAGCTTATATTTTAAATGGACCACTCTGGCTACTAACTTGAGAATATGAGGGACAAGGACAGAAGTGGGTGACCAGTAGAAGGCTTGCAATAATTTAGACAAGAGATGGATCAGGGTTGTGGTAGTAGAGATGGAGAGAAGGGGCTATATTCTAGATATATTTTCAAGGCTGAGTTGATGAGTTGACATGAATTCCTATTGGATTGAATATGAGGTAACAGGGATGTGAACAGTGACTTCACAGTTTTGACCTGAGGTACTGGAAGGGAACAGTTACTATTTACTCAGATGGGAGGAGCAGATGTATATGTTTGTTTGTATATATGTATAGTTAACTTGGTGGGGGATTGAATGGCTCGGGTCTGTTAATGCCTCGGGAGATGCCTATTAGATACCTAAGTTGAAGTTGTCAAGTGGGCATTTGGACATATGATTCTGATGCTTAGGAGAGAAGTCCGACTGGAGATGTGGATAAGTGATATTCCTGCTAAATGAGGCTCAAATACCAAAACTTGAAGTGCTCTCTTATTATATCCATTTATAAACCTAGTCTAATACTCCTAGAATTTGAACATTGAGGGTTCCTCAAAATATACATTAAAATGGTATTATGAAATACATCTTGAAGAAACAGCTTTTTAGGATAAGATAATGAAAAAAGTAAAAATACCCAGTGACTCTTTAAGAAGTTATTCATTGTGGGAGCTCATCTGTGTGTGTGTGAAAGGGATGAGACCACTTCATGGTAAGAACAGGCCCATTCTCTGTGAATGACCAGGTGGCTATTGCACAAGTATAGAGAGCAATTCAGAGCCAAGTAGAACATGCTCAACACATAATACAGCTAATTCAATGAACTGAAATACAATTAAAAAAATTAACAGTATCCCTAATATCAGGATCATTGCTTGGAACGTAGTGGGAACTCAATAACTATGAATTGAAAGAATACATGAAAGGCCCTATGTGGTTTAATTCAGTACAGTATACATTTCAATGGGACTCTTCTGGATTTCTACATTTGAGCTAGGAACAGTTCCCATTTTCTTTCTTTTTTTAAAAGATTTTATTTATTTATTTTTAGAGAGAGAGCAAGGGAAGGAGAAAGAAAGGGAGAGAAACATCAGTGTGTGGTTGCCTCTTGTGTACCCCCTACTGGGGACCTGGTCTGGGGACAAGCAACCCAGGCATGTGCCCTGACTGAGAATCCAACTGGCACCCCTTTGGTTAGCAGCCCACACTCAATCCACTGAGCCACGCCAGCCAGGGCATGTTCCCATTTTCTGTTGGATGCAATAATTATTTCTAATAAAGGTTAAATTATGTATTTTACTCTAACATTCTTCTTTATTACTATTTTAGGTTTGGTTGACCTTGGCAGATCATTATTTGCACAGTATAGCCATTGATTGGGACAAAACGATGCGCTTCACTTTCAATGAAAGGAGTAATCCCGATGATGACTCAATGGGAATTCAGATAGTCAAGGTAATGCCCCTGACCTTGGCCTATTGTCCTGACTTAGAAGGAAGAATCTAAGAGCCAGATGTTTCCTGGATAGAGGATCAAGCCTTGTGGTCTGAATGTCTGTATATTTTTTGCTTCTTCATTTCATTAGTAATACCTTTTTAATGGGGGAACTTTGACTATACCTTGTCTTCAGAAATTTGTATGTTGCCAGTAAGAGTAAAGTGTTTCCATTCATAGTCATCTTGTTTGTCTTGCTCATATGACAGGAGGTTGAAAATCTTTTTTTTTTTTTTTTAGCATTGGTCAGTGCTGTTAACTGTATTTTTACATAAAAGTCACTGAGAAACTTAAAGTTGAGCATATTCCATATTAGAATAATTGGGCTCTTATTAGGTTCTTTGATAATCTCTTGTCAATTTATGAATATAATTAGATTGACTGGTGGGTCAAGAGTTCAAGCCAGCTGTGGAGGCAGCTGTGGTTTGCTTATCTGGATTATTACAGTTCATTAGCGCCTGGTGCCAAAAGCCAAGGATGATGATTCCATTTGATCTCAATATTATTATTCTCTTATATAAGCCTCTAGTACATGGTTTTTGATTTCATGAGTACATTACAGTGACTCTAAACAGAGATCTTACAAGGAAAGTTGTTTCATCTAAATTTTGGCCATCATAAGATGTCTAATGTTTTGGCAGATTTGAAGATTTATGTTTTTAGGAGGAAGTGCTAACTAAAAGGAGCTAATTTCTGATCTAACTTGGTCTGTTTCAGACAATGATAAAAAAATATTATGGAATTTTATACTGTATGCTTGAAAAATCTTGGTATTTTCATATTTCAGCTATTTATTTAGAATTGTAGAATATGTTTCTCAGAGATGAAATATTGCATATTTGAAATATTTTCCATTTAAAGTATAAATTAAGGCAATGCACATTTTATAACAATCATGTTATTAAGAGGACCTTTTATTTTATCATTGATGTGAATTTTATCATTGACTGGCAATTATGCCAGGAAAACGTCTTCAGCCCCTGAAGATCATAGTCTCTGTTTGGTAATACAGTTATAGATATTGCCCTGATGAACTTAAATTTTTGTCAGTTTTACACAAATTTATAAAACAATTTGGACAAAATAATTTTTCTGTTTTGGACAGAATGACTTTTCTGTCTCTCTACAATACAGGTTGCATTTTTTGCTATTTTGATTTTGCTCCTTAATACTATTGTGAGTTTTGACTGCTAAATAAACATTATACCATTTTTTGTAGAAAGAAATATTGTTGGCACCTATCATACGTGTGTTGAAATGACTTGTTTTATCTGAGACATATTATTAAAATAAACTGTCAATTTATATGGAATTATAATGTAATTTTTATTAATTCTGAGTATACTTTAAGTAGGAAATCTGCCTGACTGTAATTCCTCTTGAAAATGTCTTGGCATATTAGAAAAAATTAGGAAAAAGAAAATAGAAAAAATTTTGATTTGGGCTACATGTGTAAGTTGCATGTGCATTCTAAAAAACTACAATCCATGTTGATAATCTACTTAAGGCTGAGGAAAATAAATAACTAGCTTTTTTTTGAGAGAGAGAGTACAAGGAGTCATTTTTTAAAATACTGTTTCCCTCTTGTTCTAGGACCTTCACCGCACAGGGTGCAGCTCTTACTGTGGCCAGGAGGCGGAGCAGGACAGGGTTGTGCTGAAGCGGGTCCTGTTGGCCTATGCGCGATGGAACAAGAACGTTGGGTACTGCCAAGGCTTTAACATCCTGGCTGCGCTGATTCTGGAAGTGGTGGAGGGCAACGAAGGGGATGCTCTGAAAGTGAGTGTCAGGCTCTGAAGATGGCAACTGAAATTCTTTAGAGAGTGCAGTATTGGAACTACAATTTTTCCTCCCTGATGCCCACTTCCTTCCAAGGCGGTGGCCTCACCTTGGTGATTACCTGTGACACTGTGTCCCCCAGGTTACAGCCAGGGTAGCTCCCAGATGTGAAGAGAATGATGATGTTTGTAGCTTCACTTATAAGACATTATAATTTTAAAGCAAGTTAAATATTAATTCTATTAATTACTTATTGTTGCATAACAAATTAGCTGCTTAAAACAGAAAACATATATGGCCTCACAGTTTCTTTGAGTCAGGAATCCAGGCCCAGCTCAGCTGGCCCAGAGTCACATTACGGTGGCATTCAAACCGTTGGCGGGGACTGTGGTCTTATCTGAAAGCTTGACTGGTTGGGGACATTCATTTCCAAGTTCATTGATGTGGCTGTTGGCAAGACTTAATTCCTCACAGGTCCTTGGACTGAGGGCCTCAGTTCCTTGCAGGCCTGTGTAGTTGCTTGCCATGTGGGGCTCTCTATTGTACAGCATTGGGGTTGGTCTCCCTCAGTGAGCAAGGGAGTCAAAAAGAGTGAGCAAGGCAGAAGGGATGAAATTAGCATAATATAAAAAGTCGAATTTCATCATTTTTGACATATTCTGTTCATTAGGAGCCAGCCACTCAGTCCAGCTGACACTCAAAGGGAAGGGCTCATACAGGGGTGTGACTGTCAGAGGGTGGGGATCACTCGGGTCATGTTAGAAGCAGCTACCTCCTCCACCAGATATTCTTAATTCTGGTTGGGTCTCATTAGGTTGCTTTATTCTCTCATATCTGGATATCTGGGGTGAGGGATGGAGGAGGCAGCCTGAGAGTGAATGTCTATGATGGAAGCTGTTTGCTTGGAGAAAGTTTATAGAAGTGAGTTATACTTACTATCTTTTAATCTTTGATGCCTAGGGCCTTTATTAGTAAGAAAAAATTCTGGAAACACTTTGAAGTGGGACACCAGCTACTTAGGGATACAGGTCTGAATGTGATCCTGCAAGTCACCAGAAATGGACTTTAGGGGGAATGAAGCATTTCACGTGAGAAGAGGTCTCTGCTTTATTTGCTTGGGGCAATGTGGGGCTGCTCATTCATGTCTGAATCCTCACGCTGCTGTTAATTGCAGCGCTTGGTGGTGGAGAAGGTGGATACTTGGTCTTTGTATTCAAGTGTGCCCCCTCCTGTGCCCCACCTCCCCATTCTTTTCTGACTGGCGAACACCTTAGTGATATTCTCAGTCACTGACTAATGTGATATGGAAAAATAAGGAAAATGTTCCTCCTGGTTCTATACACATCATGGTGGAAATAATTATAAATCCAGCCCGATACGGTCTACATCTGTATTCAGCCTCTCACTCTTTTCCATTCATGCATTTAAGGAAACAGCTTCAAAGTTGATTGTTCATCGGACAGGCAGGGGTTCAGGAGGGAGGCAGCAACAAATCAAATACATGGCGTTAAAACGTTTTTCATTAAGGAGCAATTTTGTTTTCTTAATCTATCAGCTTTGGTCACTTTTTCAGATACAATTTGTATGGCTCTAAAATGAGGACTGTTTTGTTGAAAAGCTGGAATAAATAATTCAGGTTAAGGGTTGGGATGGGGAGGATTGGGGAAGGGGATACAATGTCAATCAAATCGTGAAAGGACTCAGTGATGCTTGAGACACTAAAAAGTCATATAAAAAGATGAATTAGATAAAACTGAGAGACTGAATATTAATATTTCTGCCTCTACGAAAGCAAACTTTGTGGAACGAGATGGCATTACCATCATTTAGGAATCTGGTTGGGCATTTAATCAGCAGAGGAAGGTTGGGTTTATGAAGAAACACTTCTGATGCAAAGGAAAAGAAAACAGTGAGGGTCGGTCGGTGTTTTTCCAAGAGTTATTTTGGCCTCTGCAAGTTGTAATGATTGGAGAAATATAAAGTTGATTAAATGTAGGTAAACCATTTTCCTTGCTTTTCTGCACTTAGTAACTGTTTTTTCTTAGTAACCATTTTACTTAGACACTTATGAATTACTTAGATAAGTATGCCACCTGCTCTTTATCCAGAGTGGAGATGAGCCTTGAAAATCCAGAACATTTGGTACTGACATATTTAAAGGACAGAGTGCTTTGGCTAACTATATTTTATCTATTTGAATATGTTCTTTCTGTTTAGGGTATGTTAGGATGCCAGTTTTTATGAAGCAGTCTTATTTTATCTTTTTCTTCAGATTATGATTTACCTTATTGATAAGGTACTCCCTGAAAGCTATTTTGTCAATAATCTCTGGGCATTGTCTGTGGATATGGCGGTCTTCAGAGACCTCTTGAGACTGAAGCTCCCTGAATTATCTCAGCACCTGGATACTCTTCAGAGAACTGCAAACAAGGAGAGTGGAGGTAGTGATGATTTAGTGCTAATATACCTTGGAAAAGATTTTACTTCTCTGATTCCACTGTACACGTGAGCCTAAACAGTGAATGGAAACTCATCTTTTTGGGTATTTCTGTTGGTGAGAGTTTGATGCAATGAAATAGATCTTTAGAGAACAGAAACAAAACCACACACACACACACACACACACAAAAGCCACAACATTGGGCCACATGTCGAATCTTTGAATGATCATAGTTAGGAAGCTGGTCAAGAACCTAATATTTCACCAGAACCAGATCAACAACTAAAATAATGTACTGTTTTTTAGGTGAAAGGTGGTGTACATGCTGGGCATCTGGTTAAGCTTCTCTAAGCTGACACTAAACCAGGCATTCTTTAAAATTGTGCTACAGGTACCATTGAGTACAAACTGTGGTTTTTCCTGAAGCATTGAGGTTTTGGAAGAGTGGAATATGTATTTTCATAAAGTCGTAGGAGATAATTTGACTTGAAATTTTTAATGTTCCTCTTATTGATTCATGCTAAGGGAATGTAGATTTACTTGAGATGAGCTGGCCAGTTCTTATTGGAGAAGGTTCTTTTGGGTCCCCAGGGAGAATCTGAACCCTGAAGGAAGGCACGGGGTTGAGTAGGGTGGCGATGGAGACGTCTCTGCCGCAGCCCTGGGAGTCACTGCTGTCCAGCAGGCCTCACCCGGCTTTCCCAGCCACCTGAACTAGTGCCATAATTATACCCACTGCGAGCACTTCCTTGGCTGTGCTCAGGATACCACAAAGAAGAGTCAGAAGTGTGTGGTGTTTCCTGTAGGTGGTTGACAGTTGATGACCACACATTTAAATCTAGGAAAATTTTAAATGATTTTGAGGACCTATCCTGTGATTAAAATTACACTGGAAATTTTAGTGCCACCTGGGTGTCTCTAAGCATTTCCTTCTAAATCATTTGAATAATGATCTTATTTAATTGGGCTGTGCAGTGCAATTATGCACCTGTGTGGATTTCATAAGGCTTCCAGATAGACCAACCTTGCCTATCTCATAGTCAGACACAATTTATGGGGGTCCATGTTTTTCCCTAAATGCTCTGCATTTGCCTGCAAGGGGTGACCTCAGATTCTAGTCTCTGAAAAAAAGATACTCCCTTTGTTCATAGGTAAGAAGGAAGAAAATGAATGCAGGAGAACAGATCTCTTTTTGTTTATACTTGGGTAAATGCACACTCTGACTATAATTTAGAGGGAAGATCCAAATATCTAAATTTTATTTCATTAAAATACATAATTATGCCATCACAGGAAATGAAAGGGAGCCTTGTGTTTTTCAGTGAGTTCAGAAACTTCAAAGTGAGCCAGACCCCAGATATTTCAAACTGTGTATGGTTCAGTTCAATATACTTTACAATTTCATGTGGTTTAATCTCTAGATATTTTGGGGTTTTCCAGCTGTCTTTCTGTAATTGATTTCTAGTTTAATTCCATTGTGGTCTGAGCCCTATGTATAATTTAACTAGACAAGTAATTCCTTATGAGCAATTTTATTTTTATGAGCAACATTTGAATAATAGTGGGTTTTAGAATATTTTGAAAATTTGTGTTTGCTTTTAAGAGAGTTTTCTTTTTATCCCATTTTTGGTTAGGAAAACATTCTTCTTAATTTTGACCATCCCATAATAGGTAGAACCAAATGAAGCTTTAGCATAAGATTTCTGAAATATCATAAAGAATTTGTGAAGTTCACATTATTGAGGTTTTTGTTAAGCACACCTCTGTGCTTCTAGAAAAAGGAAGGAAAAAAGAGAAAAGAACCAGAAATTTAGTGATATAAACGTATCAGTCAGGAAATGTAGCATTTGGGTGGACATGGAAGACTTGAGAGAGGTTATTTTTATATCTTGCAAACTGTTGATGAAATGTAGTGTTTGTTTTCTTTTAGGTGGATATGAGCCCCCACTTACGAATGTCTTCACGATGCAGTGGTTTCTGACCCTCTTTGCTACGTGCCTCCCTAACCACACTGTTTTAAAGATCTGGGACTCCATCTTTTTTGAAGGCTCAGAAATCATCCTAAGAGTGTCGCTGGCTATCTGGGCAAAATTGGGAGAGTAAGTGAATTTCCCCTTCTTCTGTTCTGTGGTGTTGGGGGCCTCAAGCAATATTTGTGCTCCCACGTGTAAAGCATCGATATTTAAGTGAGGAAAAGAGAAAGCTGTGAAATTTGTGCAATTGCTTTAGCCTTCTGGGATCTCAGCTGGCACATTCTTGATGAAATCTCTTTTAGAGAAGGGGGTGGGTTTTTTTCAGGCCTGTCATTCTCCTCTTCCTCAGTGCCTGTCCTATCTGGTTTATACTAGGTCAGCATCTCTCTGAACACTCGTTGGGAAGAGGGAGACTTAGGTGCAACAGGAACTGTGAAATCTGGAAAGGAGTAGGTGGATTTGTTGGTTAACAGCACAATTTGGATTACGTTTGAGTCTATTATTTATTTTGTTCTGCCTTTCAGGGCTGTGATAAAGTTAAAGGAGGTACTATATATCAGGTGTCCAGCATGGTGCCTGGTACATGGTCAGTAGAACATATGGAAATTCTTTCCTTTCTTGAAGAAATAACACTATGTGGGAATCTATTACTATTAAGTAGATTTTACTTACATTCTTTCCTAGGGTAAGAATGAAAAAGACTAGGGTATTTTCATCTACCTTGAATATATTATGACTGTTATATTAAAATTCTGCCTTTTGAGTAACAGAAGAAATGTTAGGATGCAATAGTTATAGTTGACTTAAGATACAGAGGTTTTTAATAGTTCTCTCTTAGACCTGTGAATGACTTGAGTGGGTACTTATTGTAGACAACATGTCAGGAAACTAATAAATCACTGTCAGTATTTTGTTTCAAAAACCTTTTAACTAGCCTTCTTATTTATAAGTTGTTTCCTGGGAGACTTGCAACATTTTTTTTTTAATTTTTTGTAAGAAAGATCCACCAACTATCAATTCAGGGATTTAAAAAAAATCATGAGTGTAAGTATTTTTAAACATCACATAGCTCCTGTGCCTTTGTTTTATTGTATGTTGCTTTTCAGTAGGCAAATAAGTCCATTGGTGGGGGATTTGGTGTGCTATTCACTCATCTTTTTTATTTTCTGTAAATATCTACCTCTGTCTGCTGTCACGTATTTCCAACCTACTCTATATCTTGTAAGTTCTTTGAGTTTGATAGTTTCTCTGGGTGTGATAGTGCAGTTACTGAATAATTAGCTTATAGGATTAAAATAGTAAAGTATTTACCGTATGCAGACTTAGTTGTAGTCTCCCTGTGTTAGTTCTTAATTATGTGGCAGGAGGAAAAGAGGTGATTCTGGTTTTATCCCCGTCTATTCATTATCTGTGGGATCAGACTTATTTTAATCCTCAGTGAGGACATTTTTTTTTCCATTGGTTTTAGAGAGAGATGAAGGGAGAGAGGAAGAGAGAGGGATAAACATTGATGTGAGAGAGAAGCAGCGATTGGTTGCTTCCCATACGTGCCCTGACCAGGGATCGCCTGTACCCAGACGGGGATGGAACCTGCAGCCTAGGTATGTGCCCTGACTGGGAATTGAACCCATACCCTTTGGGCTACAGATGATGCTCCAACCAACTGAGCCATACTGGTCAGGGCTATAGGATCAGAGTTTATTTGTATGCTCATCCCAGGGATGTCACATGGTTGAAATAATAATAGCTATGCTTTCAAATTCGATATTCATTGAGTGCTTTCAGTGGACAAGCGTTGCTCTAAGCACTCTACAGTAAAATTAACTCATTTGGTGCTCACCATCATCCTATGAGTTAGGTATTGTTATTATCCCCATTTTACAGATATGGGAACTGAGGTACAGAGAAGTTAATTGCCCAAAGTCACCCAGTTATAAGTGTAAGGGCCTGATTTTGAACCCAGATATCTTGGCTGTAGAATCTGTGATTTTAATAATGTGAATATACTAATAGTAAATGGCTAATGTTTTAGCAGTTCAGGGGATATATGAATCAGACTGGTAGAATTTTAAATGTTTCAGAGTGTTGATTATAATTCTACACATTTTGAGCGTTCAACTTGTTAAGGCAACCAACATCAAGTGCCTGTAGTGCCATCATTATGTTCGGCAGTTTAAACACATCGTCTTCATTTTGCCCATAACCCTGTAAAGTAGGTGGAACTTAATCCTGGATCTGTCAGACTTCAGTGCCTGTGATCTTCCCCACAAACTCCCTTGGAAAAATCATAAACAGCACAGAGGTGATCTCTAGTTATGTGTACCAGAGTAACGTGAGCCTTGGACATGGTCATCCATGGGACCTCTCCTTTCCCCTTGCTTACGCAACCTGGCTGTCTTCCTCTCACACACCAAGGGTACTTTTGGAATATGTGAGTCGTGGACCATTGGCTCACCTTCACTGGCATCTCTTTGATGTGTCCTTTCTCCTCTGACCCTACCACATTGGCTTGCTGCCTGGTTCCCTTGTGCCTGGCTTATTTTGGTGTATCTTCCATGGTTTACCCGTCACATCCACTTGCCATAACACCTCCAGGCTGACCTGGCCAAGGGCACATCTGTGCCCACACTCCCTGTTAAGAGCCTTTCAGCGATTCTTGCTTTGAAGAGGCTCAGCCGGCAAGTGAAGCCTTCTGGTTCTCTTTCTACAGCCCTTTTCCCTCATCTTTCAGTGGCTCCCTTTGGCCCTGCAGGCCATTCACCCCCAGTGCTGCCCCATTCTTGCAGATCCCTGGGTGGGGCCTGCTGCCGTCTGCTGCATCCATGTCTTTGGAATGCTTTTTTTTCCTTGTCAACCTGGAGAATATTTTTCTAAACTCATCTTAAGCATCATTTCTTTCCTCACCCCGCTGGGGGTAAACTTAACCACTCTGCATTTTTTTAATAACGCTTCAATAGTTTATCTCATTTATTTATTTACATGAGTGAGGCAGTGAGATTTGAACAGCACTTCAGAGCCTGAATCTCTTCCAGTATCTTTTTTTTAGGGAATGGCTCTATGAAAATCTGCTAATATTAGCATACATCTTAGTATATCTCTTGTAGTTGCTGGGCAAATAGAGTCACCCCACTGTATAAAGGACATCATAGCAGATGAATACACAGTGCTTCTTGTTTTGGACTACTCCTTTTTTTCTCCCCTCAAGAGGGATTAAAGCCCAACCTGCCTCACAAGTTGCCAGGTGACAGATTCTTTCTTTACATGTACAACCTAATACAAGACACAGTGTGTAATCTCCAGCTAGCAGTGGTGTCCTGAGAAGAACTGGAAAAATTCTGCCTGTGAAAACATCCTGCAGACTGATGAAATATGCAGATAAAGTTCTCATATTTCTCATCTTTTATTTCCACTGTGGTTTGGTTTCAGTCTGTCAATGACACCACAGTTTGTAGATTAAGAACAACAGATTTCCTACTGGGGATAATAGTTCTTCATACCTAATTTCATGGTTATGATTTTCATCAGCGGTGCGTATTCTGATGTGTAAAATGAGTCACATGGAAGCAATAAAGTTGCCACTGGTAGGGCTGTGAGGCTGGGCAGCCATGTTGGAAAGATGGGAACTTATTCTGTAATAAATACCTCTGAGTTGCCTTTGATATTTTATATCTTTTCTCTGTATATAGTAGTCCTGTGAGTGTGTCCCAGGACTTTGATTTTTGTTGATTGCTAATGTGATTGATGTGATGGTAAGAGGCAACATATGATGAGGTCTGTCCGGAAAAAGTCTAGCCATTGTTAATATAATGAGAATGGTGTGTGGGACGTTGATATAACCTGGCAGCCACGGGGAGTGGACTGGAATGCGCATGTGTGAACAATGATGACTTCACTGTACTAGTCAGTGGGGGAGGTAGATGCTGTTGAGTGAGCATGTGTACTGTGTGGCTATGGCATTCAAAATGATTGAGTGAGTAGAGCAATGAATCTGCATCAAATTTTGCTTTAAGCTTGAACATTCCTCTGTGGAAATTATTTTGATGATTCAGAAGGCAGCTGCTATGGGCAACTGGTGATTGGCAGCTTCATCATAACAATGCTCCTGCTCATGCCTCACATTTTGTGCAGCTTTTTGGTGACACCTCAAGTCACCCAGTTGACTCAGTCCCCCTACAGTCCATACTTGGTGTCCTATGACTTCTAGCTTTTCCCAAAACTATCAATGAGATTCAGTGAGAATCAGAAAAATACAATGGGGCAGCTGATGGTGACTGGGAGAAATGTGTGCGGTCCCAAGGTGCCTACTATGAAGGGGACTGAGGCATCATTGTCCTATGTACACTGTTCCTTGTATCTTGTATTTTCTTCAATAAAGTCTCTTTCATATTGCATGACTGGATACCTTCTGGACAGACCTTGTATCCTGTCGTAGCTGGAACATGTAGCTGATGGACAGCGTGGGTGTTCTAAACAATTCCTTGTTTTGTCCTTTTTGCTGCTAGGCAGATAGAATGTTGTGAAACAGCAGATGAATTCTACAGCACCATGGGGCGCCTTACCCAGGAGATGCTAGAGAATGATCTTCTGGAAAGCCATGAACTCATGCAGGTGAGTGGGCAGCATGGCCTTACCTTGGCTTGGGGAACCCCAGGTACTGTGGGAACAAGCAGTGTGGGAACAGCTGTCTTGGGAAATGTACGTGGTCAGCCCTCGGATTTAGTTTTTCAGTTGACCAAGAGTCTATATGTAATTTGATAAGAATCTTAACTATGTCACAAGAGGAAGAAATGAATAATAAATATTTGTTGTAGCTTTCAGTCAAACTTGTTTAGAAATCACGAAGTGAAATACAAAAATAAATTTAAAAAAACTGAAAAAAAACCCACCCGAAAACACTAGGTGCTTATTTTCAATCTGATTCTTAGTATTCTTAAGGGGAGTCTTATGGGGTGAAGTAATTATCTGGGGGGAGAAATTATTGAGAATAAAAAGGAGATTGTTGTAATCAGCATTTTGGTTTGTTTCGCCCACATTTTCAACTCACATTATATATGAATCATAAATTTCCATCTGAAAGACTTGAAGGGTTTTGTTATTTTCTAGCATGATATTCTATCCCAGTATAATATTTACCATGTCATTCAAATCAACAATGAGAACAGAAAAGAGCAGATTTGTTAACACTCTCTCTCCCATTAGGTTTTATAACATGGTTTTACCTTAACTCCACTGCTTCTGACCACTGTTCTTCCTGGTTCTTCCTCTTGCCCCCTCACCTTTCCAAGGGTAGGTCTTTCCAAGGTTGTCCTTGGGCCTCAGTTTCTTTGTTCTCTGTGATTTCTCTCTCCTTTTCCTTACTTTAAACATTTACTTTTTATGTTCGGCTCCATGCCTGAAGTCATTTTTGGGTGCCGGGGCCCGGGTTAGAGACCAGACACTCCAGCCCTGATTAAGGACTTGACAAGCGTGGAGCTTCCATCCCTTTGTTCCCATCCTGGTGCCTCCGCTCCTCCTTAGACTTCCTCATGTTGAGCATACAGATGCCTGATTTATTGAGAATGTTGACCACTTGATAAAACCTTTCTGAACATTCATTATTTTCTAGTTCAACATTTCTTTGCACTCTCTCCTCTTTTCTCCCTTCCTGCCCCTCTCAGATAGGGAAGTGTTCTGACCCTGACACCTTTGCTTGATTTCCACTCTTCTCATAGCCCCATTGCTTACCACTCACTCTCTCTCAGAGGGAAGCACCTTTTATTGAGCATTGCTCTGTATGCCAAGTCCATGCTCGGCGTTTTATTTTACATCCTACAGGTTCCTGTGCTCAAAGCAGGACTCTGAGATATCATCCCTTCTGCATCACTCATGAAACTTAAGTGGCTACCCACTGCCTACATAACAAAGCATGGATTTCTTAGTTTATCATCCAGGGCTTTCGACTGCCTGTCATTGACCTGTCTTTTCAGCTATAGTTCCTATTCCTCCCTTTTGTATCCTTGACCTGTTCTAGTCAAGTCAGCTATCTCCCCTGCTTCTAGAGATTCCTGGGGATATGCCTCCTCTATACCTTTTCTCTCTGCTCCGTCTTTCTCTTCTACCTTTACATGTTTAAGGCATTCTTCCTTGCAGAAGTTCCTGTTCCAATGCCATCTACTTTACTAAACATTCTCTGACAGTCTCAACTAAAATCACCCCCCATTTCTATGAGTCACCGTGACCTTTTCTTTGTACCTCCCTTGGGAACATTCATCTCTGCCTTGATTCGAGGATAGGGTCAAGGACACCTTGTATCCTATTTCCTCAGTGGTAGTTTAAGTTCCTTGAGGACAGGGACTATGTTTTGTTAAGAATACATAGCACTTTGCCTTTTCCTAGAGGTGCTCAATTCATTTATTAATTCAGTAGGCCAACATCTGTTAAAAGTCTGTGATAAATTTTCTACCTTCTCTTTTTCAGATGTTTGCTGAGTTAAACAGCATTCATAGATGATGTCCCTCCTTCCAGATTCCCTCTGCTCCAATATAATCAGTATTTTGCTTCCAGAGTAATAGCCTACACTTGCTGCTTTGGCCATTTCATTGTTATTCATAAAACGTTCATTGCCTCCTTGTTATTAACTAGAGTAAATAAAATGCTTCAGCCTTGTTTCTGAGGTTCTATATTAACTTCTGCAAATACTTACTGAACATCTCTATAGACTTTATGTCAAAAGTCTTCCTTGAGGAAATTAATGTCTGATTTTATCTTTGAAGACTAACAGCAGTTTGTCAGGTATATTTGTGTGTGCATATACGTGCATGTGCACACATGCACACGTGTGTATGTATGTGTTGGAGGCAGTGGTGCAGAGCAGAGAGGCAGTTCCTGTTTAGAGAGGGGCCAGGGTGAGCAAAGGCACGGCAATGGAAACTTTTATGGTGTGTGAAGAGAACTACAAGGAGTTTGGTGTGCAGAGGTGGTTGTGGAAGACTACAACCCATGGTAAGGAGTGTGGCCTTGATCTTTTAGGTCAGTGTCATGCAATGTGCTTGCGGGAGCTCTAGAGCTTCTGTGGAGCCTTTGGAAAGAGAAGAAGAAGAGTTGTGGACCTTCAGGTTTTAAGGAGAGGAGGGAAGTGGTCTGAGTTGTTTCTCACGTTGACTACACAGCAGCTCTGTGAAAAGTGGACATGGTGGGGTCAGGTTTGGTAGCAGGAGGCCTGCGGGGAGCAGTGAAGGGAAGAAACAAAAGTGAACCAGAGACAATGCTTAGAAGGTGACATTGAGAGGACTTGGCCACAGAAGATGCATATGGCGTGAGGGAGAAATGGAGGAGACGAGGGCAACCTGCCTGTTTCTGGCTTGGGAAGAAGAGGGTAGGTTTATTGGGGGTGCAAGATGAGGTAGCTTTCAGACAGGCTGCATCGGAGGTGCACTTTGGCTGCCCCGTTATCCCCCTACTCTCAGGTATTCCCCACTTCTTCACAAGTGGAACCTACTGCATGGGTCACAGCTCTATTCCCTCCACCCCCACCCCTCTTAGTCCAGGCCCCTCCTGTGAGAGGGCTTGTGCTTCCCTCTGACACTGAAAATCCTATCTGCCCCACCCCTGGCTCCTACTCAGACTCTTCTGCCTGACCCCTGCACAGCCTCTATTACCTCAGCTCTAGTTAATGATGTCTCCTTTAAACGCCTTTGGTATTTAAGATTTCCAACAATTGGTTTATAGCTGTTGCAGATTATTTGGTATTGTTTGGTGTATTTCAAATGTGTTTATTTTATCCCTCTAATGAAGTAGCAAGTTCCTTAATGGCAGGGGCCTCATATTACTCTGTATCTCCATAACACCTAGCATAGTTCTAAGAATACACCTGGTTGCTCAGTGGATGCACAGAATCATAGAACATTTGAACTTGAGGCAGGAGCTTTCAAACTTGCCTGTATATAAGACACATCTCAGGAGTGTATTCAAATTCAGGTGTTTGCTCCAGGGGGTGGTTCTGATGCTCATGGCTTTTAAAAAATACCTAGAGACTCTGACTTAAAAGAAGCTTAAAGATTAACCTAATTCTGCCACTTCACAGAGAGGAAACTAAGACTCAGAGAGCAAGTGTCTTGCCAGTTTCCTAGGTTGTCTGGTGGCAGACCCAGGACTGTATCCCAAACCCCAGCTCTTGGCCCAGTGATAGTTCCCCACCATCCTACTTGCTACTCCACCTTATTTTAAAAAATGCCTTTCTAAGAACTGAAATCCTCTTCAGAAGAATAAAGCAACATTTCATTTCACTTAAAGTTCAAACATTGCCAGGATGAGATACATTGAGATACACCTGCCATCTTTGACCTCTAGGAATCTCCAATGTTAGGCATTAGGAGAAAAGAGAACTACTCTGCTTTAAGAGAACCCTAGAGGGAAGACATGGGCTGTGGCTTGATTGGTTAGATTCCCTTTTAGTAGCAAAGAAAACATCTAGGTGACGATAAACTGAGCCTAATTTTGTATAACTTATGTTTTTATATTTCTTGTAGAAGCATGTCAATAATAAAGAAATATAACTTGTTTTCAGTGCTGCCTAAATATAAGTGTCTATGTGAGTGTGTGTTGTTAGTTTGGATAGTAAATATAAGTGTCTATGTGAGTGTGTGTTGGTAGTTTGGATAGTAAACAGGCTTGTTGGTTTCCCTTGGCATCCTTGAGTATTAAGTAGAGAAATATGGAGTGTCATTTCAAGCCACTGTTTTTATGTATTCACTCTTTGAAAAAAATTAACAATGGCTGTGATGCAGTCATGGGGGACCTGCAGTCTGTCAGTAAACCTGAAGTGGCTCCAGATGAAAAATGTGGACTGTGTGTACAGTCAGTGAACGCAAGGATTCTCCCTGTTGGTCTTCCCCATTTCTTTCCGTTGTAAGTAGCAGACACAAAATCATCTGTAATAATCTTTTTCCCCCTGTAAATTACATCACTTTTTAAAATTAGTAATGACTATTTTTTAAATTGAGGTTTAAATTTACCTTTCTCTTGAATAAGAGAGACTAAGGATGACATTTCTATGACTAAGGATGATGAGCATCTTTTGATGTGCTTATCGGCTATACAAATATCTTCTTTTGTGAAGTGCGTCCAAATCTTTTACTCTCTTTTAAAATTGGATTGTTTCTCTTATTACTGAGGTATATGAGTTCTTTTAATAGTTAATATTTTAGATACAACTAATTTGTTAGATACAAATTATAAATATTCCTCTCTCCCCCCAAAATATAGATAGTGTTAGAAAGAGAGATTGGGTGAGTGTCAGTGACATAGCATAGATGGATTTCAGTATGACTTTTTTTTTTCAATCCTCACCCAAGGATGTGTTTATTGATTTTGGGGCGGGGAGAAAGAGAGAGAAAGAGAAACATTGATGTGAGAGAGAAACATCTGCTGGGGGTCAAACCCACAACCTTTAGGTGTGTGTGATGATGCTCCAACCAGCGGAGCACCCCCCCCGAGCCAGGGCTCAATACAACTTTTGATAAATTCTCTAATGAATGCTTTGAGGACAATGTAAAGAAAAGTTAGTTAGACCCTGGCCAGTGTGGCTTTGTTTGTTGGAGCATCATCCTATGAACCCAAAAGTCTCGGGTTCGATTCCTGGTGAGGATACATGCCTGGGTTGTGAGTTTGGTCCCCAGTTGGGTGCAACTGATAGATGTTTCTGTCTCACATCGATGTCTCTCTCCCTCTCGACCCCTCTCTCTAAATGTGTTCTTGGGTGAGAAAAACAAAACCAGAAGACAAGTTAGTTAGATCTAATTATTAGAAGTTTGGCAGGTGCTCGGAAAAACTGAAGCCAAAGTCTTGTCGATAATTTACTGTTTCCTTGGGCAGCTCTCATGTATGTACCACAAGGTAAGTCTGCCCTTGGACTGTTGATGATTTTCCATTAGTGATGGGGTGGAAATTATAAGGATGTGGATGCTTGTTCAATAGAAGATAATGTTTGATTAATTAGTGCTGTCAAAAATTGAAACCGTCTGCCCTGCAAAACAGTGTGTGCTGGAAGTGTTTAAGCAGTGCCTTTATGACCATCTGTTGGAGATGCTTTGGGAATTCCTGCTGGGGGGGGGAATTGAACTAAATTATGTTTAAATTCTTTTCTAACCCCAAGGTTCTATTAGTGTACCATAAAAGTATTTTGGCTTTATGATTATGAGTAAAGTTTTTTTCTTGGAATTCGTTGTAAATCCCTGACTTACAAAGTTGAAAACCTGGAGCTACTCAGGTATCTTGAGCAGTTGGTGTTGGGCCAGGGAAACGTACATTCATGTGATAAACATGCCTTCAGACACGTGGGACTTTCAAGGAGGTGAGTGAATATATGCAAAGGAACACTGTAAACATTTTTCAAGTGTGTTGATTTCATCTTTGAAGGACTCACTAAAAGTAGAAGATGGAGAAAAGAATGCAGACATAGAAAATGAAAGCTTAATGGAGCCAATTTTCTTCTGGTCGGATGTCTTTAGCTGAGTGGTCTTTAAAGGAGCTTGCTAAGAACCCAGGCCATCTCCCCCCGAGGCAGGATGGATGAAGTAGGGGCAGAGGGTATTTTCCATTCCTCCTTCCCTTTCTCCCTTTCTCTTTCTTTCCTTCCTTCCTTCCTTCCTTCCTTCCTTCCTTCCTTCCTTCCTCCCTTCCCTTCCCTTCCTCCCTCCCTCCTACCCTCCCTCCTTTCTCTCTCTCTCTCTCTCTTCCCATTTATTTATATATTTTTATTTGGAAATTTTTATATCAGTACAGTGAAACTAAAGTTTAAAAGACACTGCATGTCATTACTTTGGATATCATTAGTTTATCATAGAAGACACATGAAAATTATTTACGTGATGAAAGACTTCAGTACTTCAATGGAATGGGCTGCGTCCCATGATGCCATTTCAATAGCGATTTATTTCAGTCTATAAACTTTCCAAGAATGTCACCATCTCTAAATAAGAAATAATCCTTGTCCTCTAGAACTACTTTGGTTCCTCCATATTCTGGAAGAACTTTATCTTCAACTTGTATGCTAACTGGTTGAGTCTCCCCACCCCTTCCTTTGGAGCCCCATCCAACAGCTACTACAGTTGCTTGCAGTACTTTTCCTTGAGATTTTTCTGGAAGCATAATGCCTCCTTTGGTTACAGTTCCTGCAGCACACCTTTCAACCAACACATGGTCAAAGAGGGGCAGAAACTTTCTAAATGCCTGCCTGCCATGACTCTGGCTGCCAGAGTTTGTACTTTGCTCTCGGGCTGTGGTCACAAGGAGAGGCCAGCAGCTGGGCCCGTGGGACACTTGAACTTGGGAAAAGCTCCATTTCTTTCTCATAAACGCCCTTCGTGAGGCTATACAAGGGAATGTTCTGATAATTTTTTATAAGACTGGCAAAAGTAAAATACAGTGAATTTTTAACTAGTTGCCCTACTAACTACCTTCTGTGAGATATCTTACTTCATTTGGAAGGAATTTTAGAATTTCTAGCATTAATGATTTTGTTTCTTAAACTTGAATCCAAATGGCACAGGCTTCTTAAATGTCTGAACCAAGTTTCCAAAATGTTGAGGGAAAAGGTCCTGTGAGGGAGAGGCAGGCCAACTCCTGATCCGGCGGTGGGCCCACATTTGGCGTGTGCTGGTCAGAGGCCGATGCTGCTGGGCCGAGGCCCGAGCAGAGGTGCGGTGCCCTGGACTTCCAGGTGGGGCGCTGAGGAGAGGACTTCCCATGTCTCCATTTCCCTCCAAAGGGTATGTGGAGCTAAGGCAGGTCATACGAGCAAGAAGAACAGAATTCTGTATTGGCAATAGGGCAGCTTCTTGGGTGATGATGAGCTGTTGGCATCCTCTGTGAGAGCAAAGAATGTGAGACTTCACTCTGACCATGTTATTAATGAACTTCTATGAAGTATTTTGGGCATACTGAAATGCATTAAAAATAAAGTAGCAAAACTCACGTACCTACCACCCAACTTAAGAAATAAAACATTAACAAACATTTGAACACCCTCATATGCTCCTCTATGATCTTACCACCCCTTCCCCTCCCCTCCCTTCCTCTCCCTTCCCCTCCCTTCCCCTCCTCTCCCCATCCCATCCCATCCCATCCCATCCCATTCCATCCCTTCTCTCCCCTCTCCTTTTCAAGGAAATCACAATCCCAACTTCCATACCCTTCATTTTTGGGGTGAGGAAAATAAGGCCCAGAGAGGTTGGGAACCAGCCAATTTCAAACTAGTGGGAACCCCAAAATGCCTTCTGCTTCTTTCCATGGGGGAACAGTTCACTGTCAGTAAATGTGTATTGCTTCTCAGCCTTTAGGGTATAATCAAATATGTAGTGTATAAAATGGCTTAGAGCTGACTCTTGTGTTCCCTATAAGCTGTGTTAGCTTCGCAAAGTGAGCAATGGAAAATTGAAGGGAAAGAATTTTAGCCAACACTTACTTGTTCAGAATCTTGGGATGGTACAGAAAGATTTATAAATGGATACTTTATATCTGTTTGGGGACAGTCAGTGTGCAGGCTGTTTAGAATCAAACTGCAGCGGGCGGTCCCAGAGGTGGCTCTGGTCTATGAAGTAAACTGGCAGCGCAGTAGAGCCCCTTTCAGAAGCCTCCTCTCCATACGTACCCATGCAAACATTCAATGTCTCCTCTAAGTCTTTAGGAACCCTCTCCTGCTGGAATGAAAAAATACCATTTTAAAATATTCCCCTGGAAAATGTCAGGGTATTTAAAAGCTTCCTGGGAGAAATGAAAGTTAGTGTGATAAACATATGTTTTCTGATGAATGAGAACCTTAAGGATTGATGTAGTCCCATTTGTTTATTCTTTCCTTTATGTCCCTTGCTCTAGGGGACATATCAGTGAAAATATTGCTGTGTGGAATATCTGAGGTTTTCCTGCTTATGTTCTCCTCTAGGACTTTTATGGTGTCATGACTTGTATTTAAGTCTTTTATCCATCTTGAGTTTATTTTTGTGTATGGTGTAAGTTGGTGGTCGAGTTTCATTCTTTTGCGTGTAGCTGTCCTGATCTCCCAACAGGGTGGGGCAGGGGACAATGGTGGTGGGAAAATAGAGACAACTGTTCTTCAACAACAATTAAAAAAAAAGAAGTACTTTCATAGTTTTAAAGCAGATGCTATTAGAGGGAGAAGGTGGGGACTGGATGAAAGAAGAAGGATTAGCCAAAGAACATACATACAAGACCCGTGGACATGGACAACCGTGTGGGGATTGCCTGAGGGAGCAGGCCTGGGTGAGAGAACGCTAAGGGGGGGAAATTGGGATGATTGTAACAGTATAAACAATAAAATATTTTAAAAATAAAAACAGAAAAGGGACAAATCTAAAAAAAAGAACTGTAAGGATTGAAGAAAAAATATAATTTTGGTGCAATTAAATTTCAATAAAATTAAGAGAGCAAATAAGATTACTTTCTTCCTGCTGATAGAATGACATATAATTGTGAAATTCTAGATGAAGTGCAGGTGTTTTTCTCATTTTTATTTATAGATGTTTAACAGCCTGTGCTTTACACTGTCACTTTAAAAAAAAATAACAGCTAACAATTTTCACTTAGCACCAATTTACAGACATTTGAAAAGGTGGTGTTTTTGGAGAAAATGTGCCGTTGATCACCGGATCAACCACGAGATTTAATTTTATCCAGCAGGCTGACATTAAATCTCTATAAAAGTGATCAAACAAAACTTTGAAAAACAAGCGCTCTATATGAAGAACATCGATGGGTTCTTTATTAAAGAAGGGAGCTGTGGGTTTCTGAATCAGCCACCCCGGAAACGGGCAGCAAGAAGTCACACTGCCCCATTTGCCCACCCGTGCTCACCAGCTGAAATGCCCAGTCCCACCCGGCTTGATTAGAGAACTCATTATTGTGTTTATCAGTATTCTCTGTGTTTCTTTAAAACAGATAGGAAAGTACAATCTTTCCACTCTCTGTGTAGGAAGCAGTATTTCCCCTTTCACACTGAAATCATAATGTCTTTCTAGGATTGATAAGAGCTATTTAAGCCCTCCATTTCAGGCTTGGCATTTTTGCTTTTGTTTTTCAGACTGTTTATTCGATGGCTCCATTCCCTTTCCCACAGTTGGCAGAGTTGAGGGAAAAATATACCTACAACATTACACCGTTCCCAGCTACAGTTAAACCCACCTCCATTTCTGGGTAAAGTCACTTTTTTTCCCCTCTTGTTTTCATAATAGAAGACTTAATACCTTAATTTGTTATTGTAACTTAATAGTTGTTATGCCTTAGAAATATATTCAAAGTAGTTTGGTACTTAAAACCTGTGTTTTTAAGGTGTTGATTTAAACTCAAGAGAGTGATTTTTAAAAGTATACTTTCTAAGGAAAATTAGAATGTAAATTGAAGCACATTTAACAATCCTGCAACTTATTTTAAAATATCAAATATTAAAAATCCCAATAATTAAAATAGTGTAGAGCTGGTACGTGAAGAGACAGATGCGCTAATTTAAATTACTGTAAAGACCAGAAATTGACAAATATACATACAGGAATTTAGAATAGAAAACTTGGCATATCAAATCAATAGTGAAAAGATATATTATTTAGTAAATGGTGTTAATGAGACCTAATCTGGAAAGAAAGAAATTAGAGTCTTCTTTCACATCATATATCAGGATACATTTTATATAGATGAAAGAACTAAATGGACAAAAATGAACATATGAAGTTCCAAGATGGCAGAGGAGTAGGTGAAAGCCACATGAACCTCCTCCCAGGACCAGTCTGGAATTACAGTTAAGTTGTAGAGAAATCATTCTGAATAATGAACTGAGCACTAGCTGGGAAGAGCCTGACAACCACGGACAGACAGAAGAAACCACTTCACCACAGCTGGGCTGACAGGGAGTGTGGAGGAGGCGCAAGAGGGCTGGCTGGGCTCTGACAGGTGGCAGCTGAAGTTCCAGATATTTCAGCAGCCAGGGGGTTCCCCCTGAGAAATGTGGGGTCTCAGTCCCAAGCTGGGCCCCCCAGCCTATAGCACCAGAGCCATAAAGGAACCCAGATAACATCCAGCAATGAAAAGCAGCAATGTTTCTCTCTGCCAGTGAAAGATGGCTGGAGACTCAGAGAGCCTTTTAAAGGGCCAACACACAAAATTTCGTTTGCAGCCACTTACTCTGGGCTCTGGCAGAGCGAGGACACAAGGGACTACAGACAGTTGAGGAGAGTCTGGGCTTGGTGGCTCTGGGGAGAGAACTGAAGGAACAGCCACCAGGATCTTTGTGCTGACTCATTCCCCACACTGCAGAAGCCATCTCTCTCAGGCAGAGAGCACTCCTGTCCAAGTGGCATCAGCCTGAGGGGAAGCAATAGTCCTGCATGCAGGAATTATTCTGCCCCAAAATGTGGTGCTTAAGCTGATCACAGTTTGATTGGTTTAACAACTAAGTTGGAAAATACAAAGCAGCAGCCAAATAGGGAAGACAAAGAAATAGACACCAAATGAAAGAACAAGAGAATCCTCTAGAAGAACTAGTTGAAGTGAAGGCAAGCAATTTATCATACAGAGAGTTTATAGTAATGATTAGAAGGATTCTCAACAGCATGGAAAAAGACATAGAAACCATGAAAAAGGACCAGTCAAAATAAAGAATGCAATACCTGAAATAAATAGTACAGCAGAAGGAATAAACAATAGGTTAGACGAACAGAAGATCAAATCAGTGATTTGGAAGACAAGGTAGAAAAAACAATCAGGCAGAGCAGCAAAAGCAAAAAAAAAATTAAAAAGTGAAAAGACCTTAAATATTTTGGATAACATGAAATGGTTATATCCACTTTCACCATTCTTATTCAATATAGTACTGGGAGTCTTAGCCACGGCAATGAGATAAGAAGAAGAAACAAAAGCATCCAAATTGGAAAGGAAGAAATAAAACTGTCTTTATTTGTGGATGACATGATACTGTACATAGATAACCTTAAAGATTCCACCAAGAAACTATTAGAACTGGTAAATGAATTCAGCAAAGTAGCAGGATACAAAATTAATAACCAGAAATCAGTTGCATTTTTACATGCCAATAACAAACTAAGGGAAAGAAAAATAAAAAAAAAATCCTATTCATAATTATTTCAAAAAGAATAAAATACCTAGGAATAAACCTAACCAAGGATGTAAAAGACCTGTGTATGGAAAATTATAAGACACTGAAGAGAGAAATTGAAGAGGATACAAATAAGTGGAAACACATACTGTGTTCATGGATAGGAAGAATTAACATTATTAAAATGTCCATACTACCCCAAACAATATACATTCAACACAACTCCTATAATATTCCAGTGATGTATTTCAAAGAACTAGAACCAATATTTCAAAAATTTATATGGAACCACAAAAGGCCCCACATAGCAACAGCAATCCTGAGAAAGAAGAACAAAGTTGGAAGAATCATACTATCTAATGTCAGACGATACTGTTTAAGGCCATAGTAATCAAAACAGCCTGGTACTGGCATAAAAATGGACATGTAAATTAGTGGAACAGAACAGAGAACCCAGAAATAAACCCACACCTTTATAGTCAATTTATATTTGACAGAGGAAGCAAGCACATACAATGCACTAAAGATAGTTTATTCAGTACATAGTATTAGGAATATTGGACAGATGTGTGTAGAAAAATGAAACCAGACCACCATCTTATACCACAAGAATAAATTCAAAATGTATCAAAGACTTAAGTATTAGACCCCAAACCATAAAAATCCTAGAAGAAAACGTAGGCAGCAAAATCTAGGACATTGCTCATAGCAATTTCCTATTGATTATATCTCCCCAGGCAAGGGAAACAAAAGAAAAAATAAACACATGGGACTACATCAAACTAAAAAGTTTTTGCACAGCCAAGGAAATCATCAACAAAATAAAAAGGCAGCCCACAGAATGGGAGAACATATTTGCCAATACATCTGATAAGGGGTTAATATCCAAAATTTATAAAATACTGACAAAACTCAAAACCAAGAAAACAACCCAATTGAAAAATGGGCAAAGAACCTGAATAGATACTTCTCCAAAGAGGACATACAGATGGCTAATAGACATGAAAAGATGCTCAGTGTCACTAATCATTAGAGAAATGCAAATTAAACCACAATGAGATACCATCTCTCACCTGGCTATCATCAATAAATTAACAAACAAGTGCTGGTGAGGATGTGGAAAAATGAGAACCCTTTTTCCCTGTTGTTGGGAATGCAGACTGGTGCAGCCACTATGGAAAGCGGTATAGAGATACCTCAAAAAATTAAAAATGGATGTCCCTTTTCACCCAGTGATCCCATTTCTGGGAATGTGTCTGAAGGAACCCAAAACACTAATTTGAAAGAACATAAGCACCCCCATGTTCATTGCAGTGTTATTTACAATCATCAAGATATGGAAGCAGCCCAAGGGTCCATCAGTAGATGAGTGGATAAAACAACTATGGGATATTTACACAATGGAATACTACTTGGCCATAAAAAAGAGAAAATTTTACCCTTTGCGACAGTATGGATGGACCTGGAGAATGTTATGCTAAGTGAAATAAGCCAGTCAGAGAAAGATAAATACCATATGATTTCACTCATATGTGGAATGTAATGAGTAAACTGAAGTAACAAGCAGAACAGAGACAGACTCAGATGGAGACCAGATGACAGCTCATGGTGGGGGAGGTTAGCGGGTGGAGGGATTGAGCAAAAAGGAAAAAGGACTCGTGGACGTGGACAACAGTGAGGTGATTGCTGGAGGGAGGGGTACATAAGGGGACTAAATGGTAATGGAAAAAATACAATAAAGATAAAAAAGAAAAAATGAAATAAAATTAGCAGAAGAAAATGTGGAAGAATATCTTTAGTTCTTCAGAACTGGGAAGGTCTTAATAGTGGACTCAAAATAAAAAAATAAAGGAAAAAAATTAAGTACTTTAAAAAGAATTTTCTGTGTGACTGAAAACAAAACAGAACAAAATAGAACATCCAAAGCAGACAGTAAAATATTTGTAACTGAGCTTTCTCATAGATAATGTTCCACCTAACTGAAAAATGATGAGACTAGGTAGTTTATGTAAAAAGCAACATCACTTGTACTAAGAGAAATTTAGCATGTAACTCAATTGAGATTCTGTTATTTTATCAATCAGCTTAACAAAAATTCAAAAGGTTGATGTGCACTCTCTTGATAAGGTGATAGGGAAACAAAGACATTGCTGGTGAGAAGTTAGTTACTACGGGATTTGTGGCAGGCAATTTGGCAGTATTTGCCAAAATTAGTAATGCATATATTCTTTGACCCAGCAATTCTGCCTTTATGAATTATTCCACAGATATAGTTGTACACATGCAAAACACAGGATGTATAGGTTATTGATTGCAGCCTTGTTTATAATGGTGTAATATCGAAACCACTCAAGTGTGCATCGTGAGTGCGTGGTTCCCTAAAATGAGCCACAAACATGCAGTACAGTACAGCTGAACAAAAATGGATGAGGAAGGTCTCTACACATATGGAGAGAGTTCTCAGGTGAATAAAAGCAAGGTGTAGAGGAGTGTATACAGCATGCTAACAATATTTATACAAAAAAGGAGAAAAGTAAGACTATATAGTCATATTTTTCCCCATGCATAAAGAAACTGAAGAGTAAGAAGCTAGTGGTGTTCACATGTGGGTATTAGGTGGGGCAGCTGGGCAGAAGTTGGATGGCAATGAGAGAGAGACTTTTTACATATACAAATTATATATGTCATTTAAACCACATGACTATATGACTTATTTTTTTAATGCCAGTATTTTTTTTGAATATTTATTTTTCTTTATGTTTTCCAAGACGACATGGGAAGGTCAGAGACAGTGATGAAGAGAATGACCCAGATGATGAAGACGCTATTGCTAATGCCGTGGGGTGTCTTGGACCTTTCAGTGGGCTCCTGGCACCTGAACTGCAGAAGTACCAAAAGCAAGTTAAAGGTAAAGGGTGGCTGTCTATTTAGATGGTCGTAGTGTGTTAGTTCACTGTAGCAGGGATGTTATTTTTGTGTGCTATAAATTCCTATTGTGTCCTGAACTGGTTACCTGTATTAAAGGTATTTATTAAAAGAATCCTTTCTGTCACTTTATCATTTAGTAGGATCTCTCTGTGTTGTATGTTGCCTGCATAATACATTTATTTTTTATGGTGACTTTGCCCCACTCATCTGATTCAACTTTGCATGCTCAGCTCCTTAGGGCAGAACCTAGAATATAATAGATGCTTACTGTATTCTGTTTGAGTTTAATTGAATTCACTCTAGACTGGCTTCTCTTGCAGTATAGAAATACCCTCTGAATCTAAAACATTGTGGTGGCCTGTGCTTGGATCTGAGTGACAAGAAACTCATTGTTTCATAAAACATCCTGTTAGATTTCTCCACTTAGCCCATGGTTTCCAGTTGCAAAGAGATAACCTCCACCTTTACTTCTATTAACAGTTTGTGTTTTTGGAAAAAAACAGAATGAGTCTACTTCCCTTTCGGCTGGATTGCTTCTCAGATCTTTGAGGACAGCCATCATGTCCCTGAAAGCTTTCTCCACAGCCCAAGTTTAGACTTTCTTTAAGCATTTCTCATAAGATATGACTTTCAGAACTGTTAATATTCTACAAACTCACTTCTAAATGTCCTGCAGTTTGGTAGTGCCCCCTGTGAAATGTGGTGCTCTGAATCAAATGCCAGGTTATCTTTGTTTTTTTCTTGCACAGAACAGATTTCCTGTGGTCTAGGCATTGTTGGTAATGAACTCTTTTGCAGCAGTTTGATGGTCTGTCACTGTGTTCTTTCCCATCTTGAGTGGCAGTTCTTCCCTTGGGAAATTTATTTTAGGTCTTCAGTGTGTAGACCATTCTCCTTGCTAAAAAGGGGACAGAAACAAAACAGATGTCAGACACCTTTGCCTTGTCCATCATCTGCTAACTTTATACTACCTTCTCAAAGTCATGGGGCTGTCTTCTCATTTTCATTCCTTAGGAGTTTTCTTCTTCATCTTCATCTTCTTTTTCCTCCTCCCTCTGCTCCGCTTCTTCATCATTGTCATCATTGCTGTCTTTTTTCTGTCTCCATCTTCTTTCTTCATTTTAATTCCTCCTCCTCTTCTGCTTCGTTGCTGTCATTATTGCTGTCTTCTTCTTCAACTTTTTCTTTGTCTCCTTTATCTTCTTCATCTTTTTGTGTTAGGTGTTTTCCCTAAGCCTTAGCTTCTTTTGAATTTTAACCTGTTTTGTGGTTTGCGTTCATACTCTTGTGTGCATGTCCTCGGTAAGTACTTTCCTCTCATCTTTTTAAAAGGCTTTTAAAAATGTGAACCCAACAAGAGCCCTACTGATTTCCTAGTGCCGTCTACCATCTCTCTTGTTGCCTGGATTTCAGCTTTTGGTTTCTAGCCATGGGATCGATGTAGATTTTAACTCCAAAATTTTTGAACCTGCATTTCTGAAGCCTGAGCCTGCACCCCATTTCCCCCGACCTTCTTTCTGTGGAGTTCTGTGCTGCAGGACGAGTTCTGTGCTGCAGGATGACATGATCACTTTCTCCGAACTGTCATCATTGGTCTTTTAGTTGGTTTTACTTAAGTTCAGATGTGCCGGTCCCCTTTTAATTTTCTTCTCTTTGCACAAGTGTTTCCAGCAAAAAAAAGAAGTAAACTTATCAGATGTTTAGCCTTCTGAATAACACTTTCAGTGGTTATTAGAATAGTTGGAATCCCTGATAATCTTTCTCTTTGAGCCCGGCCCCAGGCCAGTTTCACACACTGGGCCAGAGCAGTCTCTGGTGCCCCCTGCCTGTGCAGCCTGTGAGCACCCTTTCACACAGCTCTCGTTTCTCTCGCTTACATGCTACCTCAGTTTTATTTCAGGGGCAAATCCGCTAGTTGTAGGCGTCACAGGAACAGAAACCACACCAGACGTAACACACACAGTATATGGTCAGGAAGTTGTGTTAAATGAATAAAAACATTCACTTCTAGTGGTAGAGTGTCTTGAAGTTTTGATAATTTCATAGAATGTGTTGATGCTTTTAACTTAAAAACTCACTTTTAATGACAGATTAAACTCTACAAACTATCAATCCCTTATAAATCTTCCTGCATTTATATGGAAACCTGAACAATGACTTGACATCCAGAGTAATACTTTTCCTAGGGCATTTAAGAAAACAGTGATTTTTTTTCCTAGAAACAATCTTATGTCTATATAATGAAGAAAATGGTAATAAAATCAAACAGTGAGCCCACACTGCTTATTTCAGACCCACAGTTAGGCTAATAAGAAAATGCAGAAATACTTCCAGGACTAAATTAAAACAAGCACTAGACAATTTCTAGTGTACATTTTTTTATGTGGTTTAGAATTTTCTGGAGATTATGATGCAACTTTGGGTTATAGTGCAATCTGTTCCCCTTTAGTTCCGTTCTCCTCCACTGACACCGCCTCCTCGTCTCCTCCCTTGAGCACAGAACCAAATGAAGAGCAGAGTCTGAGATCTAATAACATTGCGGAGCTGAGCCCAGGAGCAATTAATTCCTGTCGAAGCGAATACCATGCAGCCTTTAACAGTATGATGATGGAGCGCATGACCACAGACATCAGCGCGCTGAAGCGGCAGTATTCTCGGATTAAAAAGAAGCAGCAGCAGCAGGTGCATCAGGTGTACATCAGAGCAGGTAATGTGATTCTTTGAACCCATTTCAACTCTGTGTTCAGCTTGTGAAAGGAAGAACAAATATTCCTAGGATGGCCTCGGGATTACCACTTCCTGCAGCTCAGCATCCACAAAGGCAGCTGGCACGAGGTGATAGCAGGTTTAACATCTCACTTTTAATTTTATTTTATCAGGCTTTGAAGAAGAAAAAGACCATGGGTTCTTTTTAGGTCCCAAGGACCAGGCAATGGATGGTATTAAACACATCTTTGCTGTGTGTGCTTATGGAGACGGGTTTTATAAATGATTAGAATGTTGTAAAGCCAAACAATCCTTGGACTTGAGATGTTTGGGAGCTATTGCCTCTGAAATTCCAGGCATTTGAAAATAGCATTTAGTGATCTGCACATCAAGAAATTAAGCTATCCATTAGTCTTCCAGGAGGTAATGTAACAGATGTTGTGGTCCCAGAAAAAGGAGAAAGCCATTACTACGCCTTGTTGCGGGGTGAGCAGTGTCTCAGGACTTCACTGAGGATGGTTGTAATGCAGTTGGAAATGCTCTTTTCCAAGGATTGTCAAGCTTCTTTTTCTTTTTAATTCCAAAAATTCCAGTGAACAATCTGCTTTGTTGTTTCATATATGCTAATTTTGGAATTGATTTGGCTTGTTCTAAGTGAAATTCTAATGAGAATGATACCTGTTCAGAATTGCCCAAAATATAAATCGGACATGTCTTTAAGAGGCTTGTGAGCATGTGACTGATCTTGCACAAAAACTGATTTTATGTCCCACTTCTCAGGGATGGAGGGCAGCTTCTTAAAGATGTGTACTTTATCCTGAATCATTAAGAAAGCAACCACAAAATAAACTGACAGCTACAGCACTTTAATTTACAAAGCATTGGCACGTACATGTCCTCATTTGGTCCTTAAAGCAAATCTGTGAGGGAGGCAAGGACAGGTACTCTCACATCCTTTTAAAAGGCGAGGAAGGGTGATTCAGGAAGGTTTAGCAGTTGTCCAGGACTGTGTAGCTATAGCGAGTGGCCAGGCCAGCGCTAGAATCCCTGTGTTCTAATCCTTTGTGTAGTCCCTTTTTAACTGTACTGTGTAAGTCTTTGGGTGACATAGTGAACGGTCACCATTGGGTGCTAAATTGGCTCAGTGCTTTGTTCTCTAGTCAAGAGTCAGCAAACTGTGGTCTACAGGCCAAATGCTGCTTGCTGCCTGTTTTTGTAAATAAAGTTTTATTGGAATACAGGCCTGACCATTGTTTACATGTTGTTTATAACGTGTTTTATACTACAGTTGCTAAAATATTTATAATCTGGTCCTTGATGGTAAAAGTTTGCCAACCCCTGCTCTAGATCATGGTTTATTTGGTCATTTTTAGAGAGAGATTATTCTAGAGCATTGTTTCTCAAACTTCCCTGTACATAGGAATCACTTCAGAATCTGTTAAAATGAAGAGCCTGTTTTGGTAGATTTAGGGTGGGGTTGAGGTTATGCATTTTCAACAAGCCATTAGGTGATGTCACCACTGCTGGGTGGGGACCACACAGTGAGTTGAAAGGTGTTAGAGGAGGTGGGATGGGACAGGATTAGCAGCACGGGTGGAAACTGAACTTGAGCTAGATGAAACAGACCATCTCTTCTGAGACTTACAGGAAGGTGGCAAGGAAGCTGGTTGAAGTTTACAGAGGGCAGGAAGTTGAGGTCATTCAGACCTGATAGCTTCTGTTTTCATGGAGAAATTGGAGCAAAAGTTCTTTTCTTGGGAGTAAGTTGAGGGTTGAGTAGGAGCTTAAAGAGAATAATGGAGATTTGGATAGGCTGTTGAAAGGAATGGCAGAGTGAAAGAAAAAGATCGTTCAGCAGCATCAAGGACCTAACTAAATAGGAAGCTCTGAATTCAAAGGGCTATCAATCCACGTGGCCATGTGATTTTTCTCCCCCTGTAGCTTTTAGCAGCTCCCTTTTGGAAAAGAGAACATGGATTGGGGATCCAGGTTGGGGTTTTGCCAGGCATGTGTGACAGAGGGAGAGGGATGCCAGAATGTGTGGTCGCTGGGGAGGCAGCGTCCAAATTAGCAGCCATGCAGCCACCAGGGTGGGCGTTTCAGTGGGCCAAAGCTAGACAAGAGTCCCTAGAGGATGGAGGGATGAAGGAAACAAAGTCTCAAGTTCCAAGGGTCAAGAATCAAGGAACTGAAGTCCAGCTCCCGGCAGAGTTCAAATGAGAGTCTGAGAGCTGGAGGAGCAAAGAGAAGAATATCAGAGTTGAGTGTTTTCCGTGTCATGTAGATCCAGGGGGTAAGGTTTAGGATGGAACTGGGAAGGCTGAGAAACTATGAGGCCTTGTCACTGAGACAGTAGTCACCGAAGGAGGTGGTGGGACACGGGGTGAGAGGAGACGGTTGTCAGCTCTTTCACTGAGGGTTGGTGTGTGACCAGAGGTAGAAGACAGCAGTGGAGAAGTACAGAAGGAAGCTCAGCGGGGCAATGTGGATGTCGGAGGGAAGGTTACTCAGAGAGGGCGGAACCTTCTCCCTGCTCCTGCTTGCTGCTGTTGTCTCTGGGGCCAAGTGTGTTTAAGCTTCACAGTGTAGGGGCCCGCCATGGCCTCAGGAGGAGGGCAACAATACTGCCAACAGTGTCCTCCAGGAGAACAAAGCTTTTGAAGATTTCCAGTTTTCGACTGGCTTTCCAAGTCCATGGAGGGCATGTGCTTTCTCATCCCTGGGACCAGACATTAGATAGCTGCAATTTTGCTGTGTTTTCCCCAAATTCTCATCACTGCTCTCATTTTGTTGTGTCTCACTTCATAATACACAGTGCGTTCTTTTCCTACCTCGCAGAAACCAACTGCCGATAATCCATATGGTCGTAGTGTTTGACTTATTACTTTTAAAACATCTTCAAAATTTTCTGGAAAGAAGACCTCTGAGGTTGCTTCTCAGAGACAAAATCTCCGGGGAACATCGTCAGGGCTCTGTTGAGTCATGAGGGGTCACAGTCCAGTTCCTTCTTGCACCCTCAGCCCCTGGTCTCTGCCTCTTTGAAGAGGAGGGAATAGGTGCCCCAGGCTCTCGGTTGGAATTCAGTTTTTGCTGCCTTCAGTCACATGACTCCACCAGTACCTGGGGAATGTCGGGGAGAGGGTATGCGGACAATCTCTGTGTGATTCTGGTTATGGGAGGTGTGTGTTTTGCTTCTCTGGGGTACATTTCACACACCCTTTCAATGCTTCTTTCAGACAAAGGACCAGTGACCAGCATTCTCCCGTCTCAGGTAAACAACTCTCCAGTTATAAACCACCTTCTTTTAGGAAAGAAGATGAAAATGTCAAACAGAGCCTCCAGGAATGCTGTCATTCACATCCCTGGTCACTCAGGAGGCAAACTGTCTCCTATCCCCTACGAAGACCTTAGGTCGAAGCTGAACTCTCCATGGCGAACTCACATCCGAGTCCACAAGAAGAACATGACAAGGACCAAGAATCAGCCAGGCTGCGGGGACACCGTTGGGCTGATAGAAGAACAGAATGAGGGCTGCAAGGCTAACCGCCTGGGGGCAGCAGAGGCGTTTTCTTCCAGTTGTGCAGCGACCACAGGAAGAGGAGGTGGCGGTGCGGAAGGCAGCACAGCAAGGACTGTCGAAGGGCAGTCTCCGGAGCCGGTGTTTGGAGACAATGATGTGTCTGCGGTCCAGGTGAAATTAGGAGCCTTGGAACTGAACCCAGGGGCTGCTGCTGCCTCCGCCGCTGCCGCCGTGGAGCCCCAGGGACACCCACCTTGCCTGCAGCACTTCCCAGAGCAGCCTGATATCCCTGGAGAAAACAAAGCCACCAGCAGAGCTCCCCAAGGCAGCCAACCGAAGACTCCCATCTTCAACCCCTTCCCCAGCGTCAAGCCGCTGCGAAAGTCAGCCACTGCCAGGAGTTTGGGGTTGTATGGTCCCACAGAACGAACCCCAACTCTGCACTTCCCTCACATGAGCCGGAGCTTCAGCAAACCCGGTGGCGGAAACAGCAGCACTAAGAAACGATGATTCCCAGAAATGCTTTATTGAGATTCAGCTTTTCCCGGTGGTACGAGGGTTTCAGGTACATGGCTGCAGAAGGATTTCAGTTGTCCAGTGAAAACGAATAGTTAGCTTCAGAGATGAGCCGCATTCATACAAACGGGAATTGGAAGTTTTATCATGGGAGTAGAGTAGGGATATTTTCCTATCCACTGGTAACTGATACGGTGGATTCTTGTGGCAAAATAAATATTGTGGTTTTAAAATGTGAAGTTTTTCCAATTTTTCATCGTCAACTGTTTAGAAAAGACTTGTGTATCTAGGCTGTTAACCCTTCTTCCTTCTTCCTGTTTCGAGGGCCTTCGGGGTCCCCAAAACTTCCAGTCTTTTGGGTGTTATCACACTCAAGCATGCACCACTACTTTGCTAGACAGAAACTGTGAAAAGAAAGTAAGTAGTTAGTTGCAAAAAAACTTCCCAATTTTCCTCTTCATGCCCTGTTGGGGGGATGTTTGTATGTGTGAGTTTCCCTTCAGTCCTTTCTTCTAGCCAGTCTCAAATTATTTTTTATCCTTATGCTAAAGTGCAGGAGAAAAATCTAGATAGCCTTTCCCTCACTTTCTATTTCTACATGCAAAAGGAAGAAAACCTCTTTCCCTGGAAATGTAGATGTGATCACTGACTTGAAGATCTTATGCAGAGAACACAAATGGGGTATGCACTCAGCAGCTGCTCGAAACAGCTTGCTCATTCCACTGAGCTTTCCCCAAGGTTCATTTTCTCCTCTTAATGGCATGTGGGGCCCCAGTGGGGGATGACGTGATGGGCTCCATGCGCAGCTTGTCCCGCCTCCTCTGCTGTGCAGCTCGTTTACCGCCCAGCTCACCACTGCAGACGCAGCCAGGCCTCTGCTCAAAAGCCGGGACGTAGCCCCTGCAACTCTATTACTTGAATTTTGTGCTTTTTTTTTTTTTGATTGGAATACTTTGAATACCTTGTTACTTGAACACTGCCTTTCTCTGGAGAAGACCCCACTGCTTTCTAGCTCTCTCTCACCCAATCCTCCCCACATCCCAGCAGGTCAGAGACAGACCTGTTATGGCCACTATGCAGAAGGGAACTGAGCCTCAGAGAGGTGAAGTTGCACTTCAGATACTCAAGGTAAATGCTGCCGGTATTCAGCACGACTCAGCCACATTTCCTCCAGGGCAATAGGTGGGGTTAATGTTCTTTGTACACAGGTGCATTGGCTACATAGGTTCTGCCAAGCAAGACCAGGGAACCGTTCACTGCACTCCCTCCTGACTACAGGGAACTTTCTCCACATCCTGACAGTCCTGTGACCGTGTTTCCCAAAGCCAGCTTGACCTCTTTTACCCCAACAGATAGTTCATTTTTAAACTGCTGCATGAAGTTGTCATGTGGCCCAATGGAAGGCTCACCTCTCACTCCCCTTCTCTCACCATCGTGAGAACAGACTCGGCATCTTTATCCTGTCTCTGGAAGACCGCAGTCGTGCTTGCGGGCGCAGTGCCGATGCAGTCAATGCTAATTTGGGCTAATTGGATTGCCAATTCTGAAACCAAAGCTATAGATTTAGACAGGGCTTTTACTATGAGGGGTATACATTTTTATAATAAAACAGAGAATGTGGTTGTGTGGGCTTTTCTGAATATGAAGCACAAGAGGACATATGCAATAGCAAAAAGTCATTGTATCCCTTTTGTGCTATTTTTACCCCCAAAGGAACTGAAGATGGTAAGAATGACTAACAAGATATTGCAGTTTGGGTCGTGAACTCCATGCCACCTGAAGTTACCATGCAGCTTCTTTAAAAAGCAGCCAGGCCCACAGCCTGTGTCTCGGGGAGGGTGGAAGTGGAGAGTTGGGCTTATTTTGCAAACCTCCTGGGACTGAGGCCTACTGCATTTCTCCAAGTTAAGCAAATGACACGACTCTGTCATCTGTTAAACCTGACAGATAAGAATGATTCCACCTCATCTTCTTTTCTCCTCCCCCGTCCCAAGCGAGTCAGAATAGTCTCGTTCCCCTTGAGGGATGTCTGACTTGCATAGAGAATTGCTCTTTCTTCTCTAGAGTCAGCTCACAGCTCTCTGAGGGTCTGGGTCCAGGCAGGTGATGGTGGATCTGGCCATCGCTGTCACCTCCTGTCTCTGTGTTGGCAGCACATGCGTGTTCCCCATGCTGGTCTGAGAAAGGGATGCATGAGAATGGGATGAGTATTTGTAGAATGAATGAATAACTGAAAACATAATCGTCTTCTGGGGTAACAATGACCTTGTCAGGATTTGAAACACCAACAGATTTCCTGTTAAAGCACTCTCTGTACCAGTAATGTGCATGCATCATACCATGTAACCACTTTCAACTATGAATCTATCCACTTAGAAGCCTTGCCTCCCTTAGAAAGCAGATCCACAGCAGCCTCCACCACACAGCATGGACAAAGACCAGTGTGAACTCATTATCTCCCCTGTGTATCGGACACTGTATGCAAGCACCAAAAGTGCTCACCCTGTAGTGGTTTCTTTATCTTTAGGGATGTCTGCGCCCTGTCAGTGCTTACTCGGGGAGCCGACTCCGTCTGACGCCTCTGCACCTCAGTCCTCCTACAGAAGCCTCCAGACAATCTAAACCTACTTTGTAATGTCGACTTATGGCTGTAACTGTTTGGAATAGAACATTCCTTTTTTGTCTCTCTGCTGTCCTGAAGAACTGTGTGGATTACAATATGTGCATAAAGATCCTCACAGTGTTGCAGCTGTTGTGCCTTTTTTATCTGAGCATGTGCGTAGAACACTACAGTGAGCCGCCCCTTCCTCTTTTCTCTGCACCTCCCCCCACCTTGGTCTAACAGACCAGGGAAGCAGCCCGATCAGCTCCATCTCCCCTGTCGAAGCTCTGGGCTGCACGGTGGGCTGCACGGTGGGCTGCACGGTGGGCTGCAGGCTGCTTGTTGGGCTGCGACCTGCCAAGAACTAGGCAGAACGGGTTTCCTGAATGTGAGTCAACAGAGATCGATTAAGTGTGTGCATGTGTGCGTATAAAATTAACCTTTAGGTTTTCCTTTGTTTTGATAAAATAGAGCAATAAGAATGCAACTTAACTTTCTGGTCTATGGATTCCAGAGTAATAGCTGTTACCAAATATACAACAACTGCCTTGACCCATCATGTAGGGAAGCATTTGAAATACGTGTGTGTCCCAATCAGAAGAATGACACATTTTAAGAGAATTAGGAAAACAGAGCACAAGAAATCACCCATATTCTGGTATGGGTCTTTCCAATACATTATTTTGTGTGTGTGCATGTACACCATTACATATGGAAGGTACATCGAGTGAGTGTACAAGTTTAAGCTGTCTTCCCAGTAATTGCTCTCATGTAGAGTCATTTTCCGTGACTAGTATTATATCGTGTGTTCAAGCCAGATTTGAAAAAACAAGTACCTGGTGCCACCCAGCTTGTTTCTGACTGTAGATAGTCCTGGAGGGAGTGAGCATCCTAACATTTACATTTTGGGGCACAACCCTAAGTATTTTCTTAGGGTATGTTCGTGGGGATGGAGGTGCAGGGCTAGTGTGTGCCTTTTTAAGACTTATGAATATTGCCAAATTGCCATCCTTAAAGATTGAACTTACTAGATAAGCAGTGAACGAGAATGCCTGTTTTTCCATATCTCTGGAAGAGGCAGCAAGTTCACCCCCCACCCCCACTAGGATCTTCATTGTTGATAGAGGCAGTGATAATAGGCATTCATATCTCACTCCTGACCTTTAGGGGAACTCTTCAGTAAAATGTTTGCTTAGATTTCTGGTAGGTATCTTTTATCAAGTTAAGGAAATTACCTTTTATTCTTTGCTACCTAGGAGTTTTGTTTTTTTTTTTAATTAACCAGTGTTGAAACTTTATCAAATGATCTCTAGTTGCATCCTTTGAGAAGGAAGGAGTACTTGGGACTTGGTATCTTGAACTTGAGAAAAAAAACTTACCAGGTTTCATCAAAGAATATTAAATATTTTAAAGTTGGAAATGATAGCAATAAAAGTTTTATGTGCAAATTTTCATTGCAGTATTAAACTGACTGTTGGAAATTTGGAAACAATGTCAACATCTGAGAACGGGAAATGGTTGAGTGACTTACACAGGATGGGAATACGGTGGGCCAGGTGTGATCCACTGAACTTGCAGTGACCTGTCACTCACATGAGGCAGTTCAAGTCAGCGAAGTCCGGAGTCAGAGACACCGGGTACCACTATGGATGGGAGGCCCCTACTGGCTGGTGGCTGAAGAAAGAACTGTGCAGTGTGGTTCTCCCACAAAGGCAGCCTGTGCTCTAGCAAGTGGGGACAGAATGGGGACCTGTAGGCTTCCAGGGTCGGCTCCCATGAGGTCCCTGCCAGCCATTTCCTGAAGTTGAATCTACTTGCATCCTGGTGCTCAGCCCAGGTCAAACCCTTTGACCTCCTGCAGGGTCATGCTCCATCCCCTTCTCTTTCTTCCATCCAGCACAGGCAAGCCTTTTCTGATTGTTTACCCTGCACCCCAACTGCCTCAAGAGTCTTCTCTTTAAAGTTAAAAAAAAAAAAAAGAAACAGAAATTGGGCTGATGCTTACTATTTGCATTTCTGTTATAAAAATTCTAGTTTTCCTCAGTCAGTGCTCATCCTTGGGAAAGAGGTGGATCAGTTTCTCTAAAGGGCGGCAGCTCTCTGGGCGGGACCTACCTGACACCTCAACCCAGGTGTCTTCTCACCTCTGGAGAGTCCAGGAATCTATTAAAACAAAGCAGTAACAAAACAACCTTCCCTAGAAATTTTGATGCAACTAGATTTGGCAACCATGGGTCAATCTGCTATTTTAATGGACTCTTAATTTGCCTCCTCCCCCGACCCGCTCCAGCTCTCTCTGTTGTGGCTACACATTGCTGCCAGAGTGATCCTAAAATGAAAAACTGATCAGACCATTCCTCTGATCAATACCCTTCAATTGTTCTTCATTTTCTGGAGAAGAAAAGCTAAAATCTTTGTCTTAGCTTGATCTGGCCCGTGGTTATTTTCCCACCATCTTTCCCATTCATTGCCTTCTGTCACTGTTTACACAATAACGCCAACGTTCGCTGAGATCCTACGGGCTAGTAACGGCACTGTCACCTTTGTGTTATCTTGCTTCTTCCTCCCGAAAACCGCAGGAAGCATGCTGTTCCTGTATCAGAGATGAGGAAAGCGGGGTGAGTGGTATGTCCTTGA